TAATTAAGTAATGATCCCTTAAAAGCTTCTTTAATTTAAAAATGCAAAGATACAAGACAGGAAACTAACAGGGGACAAGGATAAAAGGATAGGTATATAACTAGGAATGTAACATTTAAGTAAAGACCCTTAAAAACTTATTCCTAGCTACAAGACAGGCAATTAATATGGGACAAGGATAAAAGGGTAGGCAGGTAAATAGGAACATAATAATATAAGTAACGATTAAGAATACAGTGTGTTAGCAAAGGAACTCACCATGCGGGCAGATGTGGAATCAGAGCATCCTTTTTTCATCAAGGTAGTTCCAGTCTCTACCAGGATATTAAGACGATGGAAAGGGTTACCAAAGGTACCTGTAACTTCAAATTAAAATTATTATCCCTGTATGTATTACAATTTAAATTATATTTTAACAAGTGCAAAATGGTTGAAAGGTAAGTAGGAACATAATATTTAAGTAACGACCCCTTAAAACCCTATTTTATTTAAAAATGTAAAGATACAAGACAGGTAATTAACAGGGGATAAGGATAAATGAGTAGGTAGGTAAATAGGGACATAATATTTAAGTGACGATTAAAAATACAATGTGTTAGCAAAGGAACTCACCATGCGGGCAGATGTGGAATCAGAGCATCCTTTATCCATCAAGGTAGTTCCAGTCTCTACCAGGATATTAAGACGATGGAAAGGGTTACCAAAGGTACCTGTAACTTCAAATTAAAATTATTATCCCTGTATGTATTACAATTTAAATTATATTTTACTACAATAATGTCTTATTGACCTTTTTATATCTGTCTAATTGCAAACCCCTTAAAACCTCATATAATTTAAAAATGCAAATTTACAACAAAGGCAACTAACAGGGAACAAGGGTAAACGGTTGGAACTTCGCAAACATATAAGACATGCAACTAACGGGAGCAATGATAAAAGGGTAGGTATGAAACATTTAAGTAATGATCCCTTAAAACCTTCTTCAAATTAAAAATGCAAAGATACAAGACAGGCAACTAACAGGGGCAAAGGACAAATGAGTAGGTAGGTATGTAGGAATGAAATATTTAGGTAATGACCCGTTAAAACCTTATTTAATTTAAAAATGCAAAGATATAATATAGTGTGTTAGCAATGGAACTCACCATGCATGCAGATGTGAAATGATAGTGTCCTTTCTCTCTCAAGATAGTTCCAACCTCCACCAGGATTTTAAGACGATGGAAAAGGTTACCAAAAAGCAACTGCAACATCAAATTAAAATTATTTTCTCTGCATTTATAACAATTAGAATAAAAGAATGATCTTTTACTACAATTATGTCTTATTGACTTTTTACATCCTAACTGCAATTTATTTTTAAATCCTAACTACATTGCCACCAATATTTTACTTTGCTATAAAATTATGAAGTTTTGTTTCTTATAGGCATCGTACTTGCATGTCGGTTTTCATCCTTGAGCTGTTATTTAATTTTTTAAAAACCAGCAACAAAAAGCTGTGTAAAATATTAGTTTAGTTACATTTATATACATTTAGATCATTTTAGGACAAAAATATGTACCTAGAAAAAGACAATAATAAAGAATATGATAACTAGCCTAAATTCACTACAATTGTTACATGAATTTAATAGTTAGAGTTGTTTTTATAAAATTCAATTGAATTTAATGTTTTTGTCATTTCGCGCACTTTATTTTCAAAGTAGTTCATGTACGACAAAGTAGTTCAAATGGACAGCAGCTAGGGTTTTTTCTAGACTATAGGTTGGCATCGCTGTTTACTAACCTCCAACTTCACGTAAGTAAAATAACATAACCTATAAAAAGCGTGAAGATTTCGCCTGCAGACACGATTTAATAAGTTTTTCGAACAGTAATCATGCAATTACCTCCTGTTTTTATAGATATTACTCCTGAAGATCAGGTGAGCACTATTTTTCTTTTGAATTACTTACATTTCGATTTTGTTTTCACTGTTTTTGTTAGGCGCAAGAACTTCGAGCATATTTGAAGAGTTTAGGAGCCGAGATATCTGAAGAGAAGTCTCCAAAAGGTATTGAAGATGATCTCCATAAAATCATTGGTGTATGTGACGCTTGTTTCCGTGAAGAGAAGGAAGATGAAGTTGAGACAGTGTTAAATGACATCGTGTCAATAATGGTTTTGGTAAGTTGAGACTTCTTGCCTGAAACAATAAACTTTTAACAAATTTCATTTAAGATTCCAATGGAAAGAGCAGAGAACATTATTCTTGCGTTTTGTGAAAAACTTACCAAAGCTCCTGGTCAGAGGCTCAGTGAAGTTTGTTTGAGAGCGTAAGGCTTTTATATTCAGAGTAATTCCAGTTCTAATATTGGTATTTTTTAGATTGTGGCTTCTCTTTCAGTCTTTAGATGAGAGGTCACCTATGAGATATCATGTCTATTATCATTTGATTCAAATAGCAAAACAAACTGATCAAGTTAAAAGTGTTTTTAGAGATATTGAACACCTAAAACAACAGTTTGCTCAGTCTCCCCCATCAAGTGAACAATTACAAAAGCTGTACCGTCTTTTACATGAAGTTTTATTAAAAAGTAATCAAAGGTAACAAGCATTAATTTATTTTTTGTTGCATGGTGCAGTATAAATCAATTTCCAGTGAGCAGGCTGCTAAAGTTATGATTGAACTTTTGGGAACTTACACCTCTGAAAACGCTTCACAAGCCCGAGAAGATGCGATTCGTTGCATTGTTTCAGCCCTGGCAGACCCTAACACATTCCTTTTAGATCCTCTCTTATCTTTGAAGCCAGTGAAGTTTTTAGAAGGAGAATTAATTCACGATTTGCTTTCTATCTTTGTAAGTGAAAATTTACAGAGTTATCTAAACTTTTATAAGAATCACAAAGAATTCGTTACGTCGCATTTGGGGCTTAATCACGAAGAGAATATGCGCAAAATGAGGCTACTTTCTTTTATGCAAATGGCTGAGACAAATCCCGAAATTACCTTTCAGTCGATTGAAAGTGAACTTCAACTTGCACAAAATGAGGTAGAACCTTTCATAATTGAAGGTAAATTAATTAGAGATAAGTTAAAAATTGGAAAATTAATTTTTCTATTTCTTTAAAGTTCTTAAAACTAAACTGGTCAAAGCTCGAATGGATCAATCTGCAAGGAAAGTGTATACTTCAAGCACTATGCACAGGACCTTTGGTAGGGCACAGTGGCAACAGTTACGAGACCTACTGCATTGCTGGAAAACGGACCTTCAAGGTGTTCAAGATCATTTAAAAACGATCACTGCTGCCCAATTAGAAATGATGAATCAGCAATGAAGTATTTTGTATTAAAATGAATAAATGACTTATTTCTAATGTTTGTTTTTTTTAATAGGATATTGGGGAAAACTACAAAGCAAAAATCAAACTACTAAAACTAATTGTAAATACAAAAAAAAAATAAAAACACATAAATTAGTAGACAAACAATAAGAATGATTCAAATCATGCATTTAATTTTATACTCAATTGATAAAAATTAAAGTTTCAAGGATACAAAATAAAGAGGAAATACTGTTTAATAAAAGAATAAGGTGCATGCAACCTATAACGAAATTAATATTCATCCTAACGTTAATAGTATATGAAATTACAAAAAATACATGAACAGTTTGTTTAAAGTTGCCTGATATACAAAATACTTTCACAAGAAAAGAATACAAAAGTATTTGATTGTTACTTTGTACTTGACTTAATTCCATCAGTTTGTTACTTCCAAAAAAGTATAATAGAAGATATAAGAATAAATAATAATAAATAATTATTGAAAAGAACATACTTATTGCCCATTAGCAAGTATAGTTTCCTTGAACCGTTTCTCTTGGGCCAATTGTAACTTCTGTAACTTCTTAATAACGCCTTTACTAAGTTCCTTTCCCTCGGCGTCGTGGGTCGGTAATCCCTAAAAATCTTTTAGTTATGAAAAAATACCAAAAATATCACCAAACTTACGTTTTTATCAAATTTTGAATATTTGTCTTTTTCATTTTTAAACATTTCAGAAGGGGACACTTTTTTCAAGGCTTCTTTCGCTGCCTGGGCAGCTGCAAGCTCTGCTTTTTTCCTCTCTTTTTCTGCTGCCTTTTCTTGTTCCATTTTTTTCTTCATTTCCTTTTCCCGTAACAAAGTATCTTTGTCCACCAATTTAATTGTACTGGGTGCTCCTACAAAAAACCAAAGTAACAGATATAAATTAACATTATCTTTACTAGTTCTTCCCCCCTATCAGTTACTGTGAGCTCGAAACTGTTAGCACCATTGCTTTAAGTGGTCGAAATTCATTTTTGTAAACAATATTATGACGTAGTGTCGGCCATCATTCTTTTCTAATTGTTGCAGTTGTCGGCCATCATTCTTTTCTAATTGTTGCTGTTGTCGGCCATCATTCTTTTTTAATTGTTGCTGTTGTCGGCCATCATTCTTTTTCAATTGTTGTCGCATTGTCACTGATGTCGGCCATTATGGTTTTTTAATAGATGTATAGTAATCAAT